AGTTTCTGGGGGTCAACTTAAGACATCTCAGTGGAGATGAGTCGTCTCTTCCAGTAAAGAGTGGCAGTCTCAGAATCCAGAGCGTCGCTATGAGTCAGAATCAACCCAGTGGCTGTGAGAGAGTATCCTTTGGAATGGAGCCTTTAGATAGGGAATGCTCAAGTTTTGACAAACTTAAATGTTTCAAAAGAGACCAGTACTTTGTTGGGTTTTGATGTATACTTTTTCTATTCATCCCTGTAACCTGTCACTGTCTCTATTTTACACAGCAGAAATCAGACCCAGGGTAGACTCAGGATTGGAACCCAGTTCTGTTTGGTCAGAACCTGGGGTTTACTTGCTCACAATACCCATATCTCCTCTAATTTTTTTTTAACATTTTATTAGGGGCTCATACAACTGTTATCCCAATCTCCTCTAATTTTAACCAACCCAAAATATTTGGTAATTTCCAAACTGTAATGCTGCTCTGTTTCTGTGTTTCTATGACTTAAGAGATGGTAAGTATGGCAAGTAAAATGTTTTCCCTTATAGAATTTGAGACAATTTCTTAATATTTTTTCCTTGATGGAAGCGTCTGTATGATTTGTTTTGTTTCCTTAGAAATTCAATGAAAAAGATTTGGAAGCAATTCAGCACAACTGTCATTTAAGGACTGCAGAGGATTTGCAGTTCAAGAGTGAAGGCTTCATAACAGAAAGGTGTTCTTCTCACCAGCCACCAGGCAGCAAAATCATCTTTGTGGAGGTAAGCTTGCCTGAAATTGGACATTCACATGTGAATGTATTCATATTCTGCCCTGAAACCTATTTGATAACTGCTTTGATCTGGAGAGATCCTCGCATGTCTTCTTGCTGATAATGGCGTTTACAGCAGGTGGGTGGGTAGCATCGTTCTTAGTCTGCCTCCCTTACAGATGAGCACGAGCATTTGCAGTGCCCATGAAGTCTGAGCAGTCACAGGTGGTTACAAGGTGGGGCTGGTACTTGCTGTGCCAGGGCGCCCCTCTTGAGAACTGTAAACCCAGGTGTTAGGGACATTTCACTACACCCTTCCTGACCCATCCCCATCCTCTGCTATTTCTGATTTCATTTTCCTTTCTTCCCCCATCATCGTCAACAAGAGCTAACATCTTATGGATTCCTGAAATCATCACTGTGCTCTATATCTGTCTTTGCCTTTCTGCGTGTGCTTCCGTTTGTCTAATAAGCCTTTCCCCCTTGTTTACCTGGTGTATTAGTCTGGGTACTTTGGAGAAACAAATCCACGGCGACTCACGTATAAGAGAGAGAGTTTTATGCAAAGAAAATGTGCAT